GAGCTCTGCCCCGCTCCGCGCGGACAGGAACCTCGGCCTGGCACGGGGCTGGAAGTGCGGCGGGAAGACGGCAAAGCGTCCGAGTCCTGCAGGTGCTGCCGTCGCTGCAGCATCTATACAGAGAGATGAACCGGGGACTTTCAGCCCTTCCCGCCTCCCCCTCATCTGCTGTAGAGGAGGAGGAGGTGTGTGTGGGGGGGTCTTCAGCCCATGTCCGTGCCCACGCACTGCCCTCCTCCTGTGCCCGCATCTCCAACGCCCGCCGTACCGGCTTTCTCAAATTCGCCACCGCGCCGGCGATCTGGAGCCTAGGGTGGACCCAGACGAGCAGGGCAAGGGCTGGCGCCTCTCCGCGCAAAGCAGGCCCCGGGGGCAGCTCGGAGGCGGCCGGAGCCGCCTTTTGCGGCCGCTCTTGTGCTCCAAAGGCCCTCACTGCCCTCTCGGCCCCAGTCTGCCCTGTAGCGGGCCCGCCGTCCCTATGTCCCCATGTATCTATCACGACGAATGCAGCACATTTCATGGCAGTGAACCTGTGGGTTTTTTTTCTTTCTTCCTTTCTTTCTTCCTTTCTTTTTTTTTTTTTCCTCTTCCCCGATTGCCTGAATCATGAATCTCCTGGAGCAGCCGCTCCACCAGCTCTGAGCTCTGTTGCTGCCTGTCTGCTGTTTCGTTAGCCTGAACGGGAAGAAGATGTAAAGGAAGGGACATGAAGTTTTCTCTCTTATTTTCTTTTTTAAATATGTACACATATAAATATATATATATAATATGTGTATATAATATATTGTGTATGTATATAATACATACACATATACATATATATACACATGGGTATATGTAAATAATATATGTGTGCATATATGTGTGTATATATACATGTACGTATACACAAACACACACATATATGTGTGTATTTATGTATAAGTGTATATACACACACATATAACGTTCATGGACAGCAGACTCTCGGAGGGCATCCCTCCTCTCTTTTTTAGGCAATTGTTTCTCCACGCGTACTCGCCCAGAGCCGCGCGCGCACGAGGCTGCGCCGCGTCGCGGGGTCCCGCGGAGCCGGGCGGCTCCCCCGCGGTGCCGCTGCTGTCCCCCGCGCCGCCCCGGGGCCCGCGCCCGCTCCTCGCGGGTTTCCTGCAGTCACCGCGCAGTTTTCTCTGTAACGAAACTCGTCCGCGCCGGCGGCCGCCGCGGCCCAAGGCCGGCGGGTGGTGCGGGCGCTGCGGGGCGCGGGCGCTGCGGGGGCTGCCCGCGCCCCGCGCGAGGGTCCAACGAGCACGAAGCAGGGGGCACGAAGCCGGTCCTCTCTCTCGCGCACAGCTCCGGTGAAACCCCGCCAAGCGGTGCCAAGCGACACGGAAAGGAGGGATCGGGGCGCGGCTGTGCAGGCGAGTCGGGGATGCGGTGGGGGACAAACTGGCAGAGCGGCGCCACCGGGGGCGCGAGGCAACGGGGGACCTCACAGTCGCTGTGAGCATCACACGGGCGCCAAAGCAGGCTGCGTGATCGCGCTGTTCTCAGTGCAAAAGAAGAAATTAAAATCCAAACCAAAAACAAAGCAAAACAAACAAACAAACTCCCCCAAAATAAGAAGCCACCAAGCTGGTCCCTTACACAGCGCTGGGCTGCACAGCCCGCCGCGCGGCTCCCCCGTCCCCTTTGCCCTTGGAACCCGCTGCCCGCAGCTCCGCCGCCCGTCCCGCGCGGGAATGGGGCTGGGGGGGGGGGGACAGGAATAGGGAGCGGGGGGTGGCGGGCGCGCGCCACCTCCGCGCGCCCCCGCGGGAGTTGCACCGGCGAGCGCGCGCACCGCCCCCTCCGCCCCCATTGGCTGAGAGGCGCCTAACAGCGGGCTCGGGCCGTGCCCGGCAGCCAATGGGGGCCGCCGGCAACTTTACTTTTCTCATTGGCCCCGGGAGGGTGAGTGGCGGGGCAGCCCCCCCGGCGCTGTCCGCGGGCCCGGTGCTGAAGGCGCCGCGCGGGCTGCGCCGCGGGCGGCGCCGGCGGGAGCGGGGCGCGAGTCCCGGCCGCGGCGCGCCGGCCCCGGGCGGCAGCAGCAGCTGCGGGGCCGCCTTCCCTCCCCGCCCCCCCCCGCGCCATCCCGCCCTCCCGCCCGCCCCCGCTCTCCCGCCCTCCGCCTGCGCCTCCCTCCGCCCGCCACAAACCCCCCGGCCCCGCCGCGCGCAGGCAGCGCGCCCGGGCCACCGGCGCCCTTGGCAGCCCGCGCGAGGCGGCGGCGCTCGTGGCACGAGCAAGGGCGGGCGCGCGCGGCGGAGCCGCCCGGTGCGCAGCGGCGGGAACGGGGAGCGGGGGGCGATGGGCGCCTCGCGCTTGCGACACGAATTTGACGCAGCCAGATAGGCGGCCGCGCCGCTCGGCCCTCGCCCCCCGGCCCAAAGGGCGCGAGGCTCGGAGAGCCCGGCCGGAACACCCTCTCCTGCTCCTGTTCCCGCCTCCCCGCTCTGCACACACCTTCTTCCCCCCCGCAATCGCATACCCACCCACCGCCTCTTCCCGCGGCCGCCCTGCGCGGCGCACCAAGTTTCCTCCAACTTCTGCACCGCAGTGAGCCCGGGGGGAGACAGCACAGGCGGACAGCGCCGATCTCCCTCCGGGACAGAGAAGAGTCGGCGTGGCGGTTTTCCACGCTCTCCTCCGCCGACTCTTTTCTTTCCTCTCTCGGACACCAACGCGAACCGAGGCTGCCCCGGCTGTTTCCGCCACCAGCACAAAGAGACGTCGGGGAGCTTTGCCTCTTGGAGCCAGGACGCAGCGCGGGGGTGCCGCTTCCCGCTGGATTGCACTGCGCCGAGCCGCGCGCTCCTGCTCGCCCCGCGCCTCGGCCGAGAGGACGGTGCCGAGCGCGCCCCGCGCCCGCACGGCTCCATGGCGCTCTGACAGCAGCGCCGGCGAGAGGGCAGGGAGGGAAGGAGCCTCCCGACGGGATCGAAGCCGAGCCCGGCAGACAGCGAGCCAGCTCGCGGTGCCAGGCGGAAGACAGCGGCTCTACCTCGACTCCTACCTTGCGGAATAAGCGGACATTGCAAGCCGCAAGAACGAGGATCTGCCCTTGGTCCACGGTGTCGGATACCTCCATCCTAAGTTTGGGGGCGTTTGGTGCCTTTTTTCTTCCGCTCGGTTTTGTTTCCTCGTCCCTCTCCTCTTCCCCTCCCGTCCCCAACCACCCAAACCCGCGAAACTCGAGCGCTGCCGACTACTCGAGACCGGTTCTACCAAGCTGTCCACCCCGGCTTCGGACCGCTCCGATGGAAATACACTGTAAGCACGACCCGTTTGCAGCAATGCATAGTAAGTAGGCTGCTAGTTCAACTTCTCTGACATGGTAGGGCCGAGCCAGGCCGAGAGCATTTGCGAACGGGGGGCGCGTTTCCCGTCCCGGGGGCCGGCGGCACCGAGCGGGAAGACAGGCCTGGCGCGAGAACGAAATCCCGGGCTGCAGCCGCGCTCCGGGCTGCGCACCACTTTGGGCTCCCGTTCCTTCCTTTCAGGCGCGAAGGGGCAATGTTTTATCCCGGCCGCTCTCCTCTCTCTCTCTCTCTCTCTCTCTCTCTCTCTCTCTCTCTCTCTTTCTCTCTTTCTCTCTTTTTCTCTTTCTCTCTCTCTTTCTCTTTCTCTTTTTTTTTTTATTGTAATTTTTCTTCTTAGAAGAACACAGAATAGAACAGGGAATACCATGCCACGGGCATTTTTGTATGTGTGTTTATCTGTGTCTTTTTCTTTCTTTTTTTCCTGAGAACTCTTGTCCTCTTGGAAGAACGAGCCAATAAAAAAAATCTATATACATATATGTATGTGTATGTGTGTACCAACACACAGAAATATATATTTATATATTAATATATGTAGTCAAATTTCTAAAAAAAAATGAAAAAGCTCTCCTCTGATTCTGACGAATAGAAAAGTTTGCTATGCTTTACTTAACTGTATTCCAACATTTTGATATATCTTAATTTAAAACACACACACCTCCCTCCCCCCCCCCCCCCAAAAAAAAAAAAAAAAAGGTCTGCCGGACACAAAATCGGGGCTGAAGACGACGTTTTGTTAGCCGTCTGAAGAAGGACAGAGTAATTCCTTTGCAACCTTTACATAAAAAAAAAAAAAAAAAAAAAAAAAAAAAAAAAAAAAAAAAAAAAAAAAACTAAGAAAAATTAAAAAAAAAAAAAAAAAAAAAAAAAAAAAAAAAAAAGTGCAGGAGACAGGTAGCAGAGCTGGTTAAGTTAACAGATCGTGTGGAATGGGCTTGACTGAGATTTGTTTTGCTTGAGAGGTCGGGGGAAGACTTATCCATTAGCACAGTGTTATGTGAAATGACATCTTCTCTCACGGTGAGTTAAACGGTGCATTACAGCGAGAGATTGCGAGGAAATTTAAGGTAGAACTAATCTCATTTCCTGGTGCACCGCAGTCCTTTTAGCTAAAATAGATTTGTTTGCAAAATAAAGCAGCTTGTGCTAGGGCTAGAAATCTCTCTCTCTCTCCCCCCCTCTCTCTCTGTTTCGCTCCCTCTTTATTTTTCGCTGTTTATGCGTCCATTGCTCTCTCGCTTTCTCCGACATATAATTTTGGAGAATATGGAGAGTCGATCAATGCAGCCGCGATAGTAGTCGGTGACTCCTTTCTGCTGCATGTGAGATGCACCTTTGCTTCCATAGAAATGCCCCATTTTTAGAATTGTGATTATTTGCTTCCTTTTAATGGAATAAAATAATATCAAATATTTTGTAAAAGGACGATTTTACAGCAGTAAAAAAAAATCTACCTCTGATCTTGGAGGAAAACCTCACAAACTCCATTATCAAGTGAGTGCCTTGGGGTGACCCCCGAGCGGGTTGTAACGCTTGCAGACCTGGTATGCAAGGAGGGTAGGTTTGCCTAATCTGCCCGGTCATCGGGCGTGAGAGAAACCACTAAGGGTTTGAGAGCCTCTCTCCATTAACTAAAGTCATGGAAAATCGATATCTTCTGTAGGAATTTATTGAGAAAAAAAAAAAAAAAAAAAAAAAACCACTACCTGCGCTCTGGCCCCCTCTGTTTCTGGAAATACTTCAAATTCGCTGCCAAACCATCCCTGTATCGGCTTTTCCCTGCAGAAGTTGCTTTAAAAATAATGATTTAAAAAAAAATTTTGCAATGCCCTAAAAGCGGAGACTGGACGAACCGCATCAGCAACTTTTGGCCAAGGGGAGAGAAGCTCCGTCCACGGCTGCGCTCCCGCAGGGATGCTGCGCTCCGCTGGCTCTGCGCGGGCGCCGGCGCTTAGGCGAGGGGGCAGCTCAGCCGCTGCTGCCCGTCGTGTCTCTGTCCTCCCCGATGCAGGAGCCTTTGACACACGCACTGCCCGCGGGCGGCACCGCGAGCCCCTCCGCGTCGAAGACCCTTCGCTCCACCGCTCCCCGCCTGCCACCTCTTTCGCCGCTTCGCAAAAGTTTCTCTTTCCATAACTTTTCTTTTTTTTCTTTTTTTTTCTTTTTTTTTTTTCCTCCTCTGGTTTCTGCTGTTGATGTTGGTCTCCACGACGGATACGGCTTAACTGCCGGGAGCTTTCTCCGCCGGGGACTCCCGCCTCTGCTGAAAAAAGCCTCTTGAGCGAGGGTCGTGCCCCATCCGCTGCTCACTTTGGGAACTGGTATTTTGGGAGGCCAAGAGCCTGCTGGATAAGCGGGAAGAGGCGGAAAGGGGAGTGAGACAGGGGCAGCGCGAAAGAGAAGCCGCTCTCCGACTGCCATGGCTCGTGGAGGGCACTTAGGGCCGGGACTGGCACTGGGGTCTCCTCGGAGTTGTCCCACAGCAGGGCGACCAGGACTCCAAATACCTGCCCACAGGCTGCCGGCGCTCGCAGCACTTGTGCCTCTGCAGCCCGCGGTCCTTCGCGTTCCCGCGTACGCGATTCCTCGCGTCACAAACTTCCCTGTGCCGGGAGGTGCGGGCCCCAGCGGCTCTCGCGGCTCTCTCGCGGTGCCCACAGGAAAATGCGGCGAGGTCCTGGCCTGGCACCGGGCCGGGCCCCTCTCCGCCTCCGCGCAGCCCCCACGCCGAGGTCGCCGCTGCCTCTGCGAGCTCCCGCAGCCGGAGGGGCCATTGTTCCCTTCCTGCTCCTTTGCGGGGCTGCGAAGTTGGTTTAGGAGAGGGGAATCGTCTCCGTCCCTCAAAGGGACACCTTACTCTCCTTCTCCTTAATTCCTTTCTTTTTCCCTTTCCCCATCCTTTTCTTTTTCTTTCCCATTTGCTTCTCTCAATTTCTCCTTCTTTCCTTGCTTCTTTCTATTTCTTTTTTTTTTTGGTCCCCTCTTCCTTCCCTACTTGCCCCTTTCCTTCCTCTCCACTCTCCTCCTCTGTGAGAAAAAAAAAACCCTACAAAATATTGTCTTTTATGTTAAATGTGCTGCTTATGATTTAATATAGTTAACCTGGTAATGGGTGAAAAGCCTGAGGTCTTGTTCACTCCAGCTTTGTGGGACTGGCCTTTCGCTTTTAGCATTAATCTCTCATAGAGTTTCCTTTTCTCTGGTTTTAAAAACATTTCAGCATGCAGAGCAGCACTATGTTTTACCTTGCATCACCAAATGTTCCCTATGAAAAGGGTATATTGCACTTGGTGTGCCCTGAACAAACTTCTGTTTGCAGGACTGATGCCTTAAAAATGATGCCTTGCTGCTGGGAAAGATCTGCTCATAAAACTGATAAAAGATTATATTTTGCATACTTTAGCAAAAAGACATTTTTAATGTGGATTCATTATGTGTCCTGACAGCTTTAGAAGGAGTCTACAAAGTTTGACAGCTCTTTAACCATCCCGATATGACCAAATTTAAATAAAGAATGACTATATATTTAACATTGAGGCACTTGATTTCTACATTTCAAGTCCTGTGAAAATTCAGAGATTTTCCTTATTATTTTTGTTCCAATATTGCCATCTGTGCTGTCTGCCCCTATTGCTTGTTTGCAGTTTCTCCGCTCCTCTGCCATTTAAGTAGTTTGGATGATTAACAGCATGACGGTTAATTATATTTTCTCACTTGCTACATGGGATTATTACATGTTCATTGGTTTTACACAGTTCCACTACTGTTCCTCTGACTGGATCCCATTTCCCACCAGATATATTATTCACCTTGCTAAAGGTGAACAGTGCAAATCTTCTAGAAAAAGAATAATATATTTGGCTTGGCTGAGTGTTCACATTTCATTTGTGAGATCGTAATATCTGCCAAGACTGCTGTAAATTGTAAAAGAAGAAATCATTCTCTCTCCTTTTTTTTTTTCTTCTCTTAATTAAGTCAAATCATTTGGAAGAAAAAAAAAAAAGAACCACCACCACACCCACTTTATTTATTTATTTATTTATTTATTTATTTATTTATTTATTTATTTATTTAATTATTTTTTCTTAGCTACGAATAGATTGTAATCATACAGCTTTGTTTTTTCTTGGCTTTCTAGTCAGAGCTGATGAAAAGGCTCCACTATGTTAGGGAGTTAGTCTCCACTATGTATAGGACTAAGTAGTAAGGACTTACTAGTCTTTACACAGGCAAAATTGGTCATCGTGCTGAAAGGAATATGTCCCACATCTAGCAGATCTGGACATAAGCATATACGGTTCCAAATTGTCATTTTTCAAACAAGGGGACCACGCTGCCTTCAGGCAGGAGGCATTCCTTCAGTAAGTAGCATTGCAGCAATGTGAAATTTCAATCAGAAGGCAACGTGGCCCCACTTCCCTCCATTCCTGTGATTTCAGCAGCGCACGGTAAAAAAACAAAAAATAAACAGACATAGCTAGAGAATTATCAGCCATTATGGATGTCCCCTATCCATAATGAGATAGAGAGAGAGACAGAGAACATAGTGGCTAAGCAGGATTGCAGTGAAGAAATGTTACCCCAAATATCACAGAACTGTTTTTTTTTTCCTGCCCTTTCCCTCTCTTCCCTGTGTGTTTCAGGACATGGAGGAGTGAATCAGTTAGGGGGTGTTTTTGTGAACGGCCGCCCCCTTCCAGATGTTGTTCGTCAAAGGATCGTGGAACTTGCCCACCAAGGGGTCAGGCCTTGTGATATCTCCAGGCAGCTGCGGGTCAGCCATGGTTGTGTCAGCAAAATACTTGGAAGGTAAAGGAAGGATGACAAATCTTTTGACATTTATTAAAAAAAAACGAAAACAAAAAAAGCAATGCCTATACCTTACTCATGGTCTGTAAAACAAGGGACAAATCAAATAGAGAATAATAAAATAATCTTAGGAAATCAGTTCAGCCATGACGCAGCGTTCTTTGCCATTGCTTTCCTTAAGATCTTTATATGTTTGACTTGAGAAAAAAGCAAAAAAAAGCAACTATTTTGACTACTTATACATTTATTTTCTTCCTTTCACAATCTCTTGTAGATAATTCCAAAGCAGAATACAAAATGTCACATGTCATATATTTGGTATATATGTGATACATATCCTGCATCTGTCTGTTCTGAAGAAATAGAGAAATTTGTAACTCATCTTCAGTAAAGATATGAGGCATTTCCCAAAAGCTGCTCCTTGTGCTTTCTGAGGAATACCTATTTTTAAGCATTTTATACCATTAAGTATTGAGGTATTGTGTGAGCATTGTCATGTGTAACCAATGTTATTGGTTATTGGTCCCACTATTACATATATATACACATATATACACACATATATACATATACATTCATATGTGTGTGCATGTGTATATATATGTACATGTATATGTACACACATATACATATATATATGTACACTATATATATTTTACTCTTGTGATGGAATGTGCTCTAAGTTAAAACACAGACTGCCACAATTTAGTTTTACCAGTCTTAAACTTAGCTATTTTAAAAGTTTGGGTAGGACCAGCTTAAAACAGTAAAGAAACAGCAACTTAAGCTCTGAATTCTAATCATTTCAATGTCTTTTTGAAATTTGAATTATATTCTGTCCAAAAAAGAAAAGAAGAAAAATGAAAACAAAATCCTGTGCCCTGGTTCTTTGTAAGTTGTGGACAAAATTGAACAAATTTGGCTTAAAGTACTATATTAGATGCTTCAAACTTCATGGCCATGATTGAGCATGTCATATAAAAGAAGATTTGCTTTTTCTTAGTACAGTATTTTTTTCTTGATAGTTTGGAAAAAGCCTATTTCTTAAATATTTACCAACATCCAGCTTTACAATTCATTTTTAACTCATTTTTAACCAGTTTGTTAAATCAGTCATAGTACAGTTGTGAAAACTACCAGAGCAGATACTCCTGTAGTAGTACATGTAGGACCTTCCCCGGATTAGCAACATTTATGATCTTGGTACAGTCATGGGTCTTTTTTTTTTTTTTTTCATTCTTCTCCCTATAGCTGTTATCTCCGACTGTATGGACCGTCAAACACCTTCTCTACAGTACTGAATAGTGTGCTTTTAGAAGGTCATGTGAACCAGTGTTCAAGTGACACTGGGCATCCCTGCTTTTTCTGCTATGCCTTAGTTATACAGAGATTCACTCTCCATATACTATGAGCATTCCTCCTGATTTTAGCATTGGAGTAGTTTAAGGACACCAATGACTTTTTTTTAGGACAAAAAGTTTTCATATGTTTCGAAGCCTGCCTGCCTATCACAGTGTTTTTTTTCATTCTGTTATATTGTTATCTGCTCTCAGAACAGGCTCATAATTCCCCAGATAATAATTCTGCTAATAAATCTGTCCAGGATTCTTACACTGGCTTACTAACAGTTACTATCGGCACCAATATAAAGCTAATAAACATCAAATTTATGCACCTCACTGTGAAATGTCCAGCAGCTTTATTTTTGCCATTTTGAATGGATTTATCATTAGATATATTTGCACTCTGGAGCTAAAAGTGAAGCTCCAGAGTGTTGTCATTTAAATTGTCATCAATTAACAAGAATTTCATAGCTCATTGTTTTCAAAACTAATAATTACTATGGGTAAAATTTCACTGTAATTGCAGATCTGTGAGCATGCATTTGAAAAACAAAACTGGGAATTCTTATGAAAAATCCTTACATCCTTTATTTGAAATTTTATTATTAAAATCTTTCAATGCATAAATCTTTAATGCGGATTTAAACCTGACTAAATGATGACCCACAGCAAGCTGTGTCTGCCAGGCAGGAGGTAAATAACTATCTGGTTACCACCACAGTCTCATAGGAGAGAACTGTGGAGACAGCCGCTCCTCATCTACATTAGCAGCTTGTTGGGACTAAAAGGCCTTGGAACTAATTTTTATAGAAGAAGCCAATTTCAATTGAGTTTGTCTTTAAAATGGATCTGGGAGCCAGAGATTGTAGCTTTCTTTTGCTTGTAGCTGTTTGAGCTGCTTCCAGGTTGAACACCAGGATGAACAGGAAAGGTGTGGCTGTAGGTCTCCCTGGACATTAACTGGTCCTTGTTACACATGAGCTCACTCCAGGGAAAAGGACTGTCAACGTCTTCATATTTGTTATGAGTATTTTGTTTAATGCATACCGATTTTTGCTGAGCTCAGAATAGTGTGAATGTGTGGGTAAGTACTTAATCAGTGGTTAGAAGATTTGGGAGTGAAGGTCTTGCTCTCCAGAATTCACCAAGTTCTTTTTCTCCTTTGGCTGTGCTCATGTTTTATTAAGCTGATACATCCAAATGGTGTCAGCAAGCTGACTCCTTAGTGAGCTGGTGCCATGCAGTAAAATCCATCCGTACCTCTGGAGGTTCAGGAGTTTGTCTCCACCGCTTACCAAACATTGGCAGAGTCAGCCATGAGGAACAGGGTCTGTTTGTCCAGTTAGTGCTCCCGGGCCTGTTGGTAGATAATTTGCTCGTCAGCTGGATTATCTGGCATTGACAGGGAGGCGAGCCAAGAGGCGACACAAACATGTGTTGATATGTAGAGAGGTAGTGCTGGAGAAGAATGCAAGGAAACACTCCTAAAATGTAATGGTTTTGACCAAAGCTAAGAAAATGATGACTTGAGTATTGCATAATCTTCATTAATATCCTGTCTCAAAGGAGAGAGACCATCAGCAAAGTTTATGAGACTAGAGATACAAGGTTATGATAGGTTTGTGCTGCAACTGTGCGGTCATGTTATCATGGTCTCAGGAAAAATAGCAAAATTTTACCACTGTGCCCTATGGCACATTTCTAGGCTGCATTTTGAGAGACAAAGCAGGTTAATCTGTCTTTGGCACTTTGCACTTTCCATTAAATGGCTCCAAGCAAACAAAAAGAGTGAAATTCAGATCTGCATCCAGTTTATCTGAAAACATGTACCGACAACGTAGTCTCACCTTCTTTAAAGGGCTTTTATGTCCTGCACATATTTTAGGTCTTCCAGAAATATTAAAAAACTGTGATCTGGCAGAAGTTTGGTAAACATGATTGTATATTGCAGGGACTTTAGCTTCAGAACTTAATTGTGCTCTCCGCCCACTGGAAAGGCCATGGAATTAAAAAAAAATCTTGTAAAACTGATGTCAAATAGCTGTGAAGAAATTATATTAATAAGCTAGCTTATACTTTTATTTGGAAGCCTTTTCTAAGCTCCTTGCTAGAAATGTGTATACTAAGGAGTTAATGGACATACTCAATACATCTAACTGGGTCTGTCTGGTTTAAATATTTATGAAGTCCAAGTGTTGGACACTACATTGGATGGATTTACCAGACCAGGTGTTTAGGAGAGGAAATTACTTGTGCAGGTAGGCACAGGATTCACAAGGTTTATTTTTCATTGCTTGTCAAAATTGGGAAGATACAAACAAAGAGTGTCCATGGCCAGAAGAATGTCCTTGTGTGCAGCACACCCGGAAAGCTGCGTAGAGAACAACCTTCTCAAGGGACACAGTCCCACTTCTGTTTTTAACACATTTTTTAAGGCTTTATTTATTAAAAGAGGGAAATCAGCTGAGCTGGGGATCTCAGTTGGAATGTGTTGTAGTAGTTCTACCAAAAATATCTGTAATTGTTCTATTACATGAGCAAGAAATCTGGCAGACTGTTTTAGGTTTCAATCAGTCTAGGGTCCAGTGCTACCACCTTTCCTGGTACGATACTAGTAGAACTGCTTGGAGGTGTAAAGATCATGTATATGAGAGAAGACTGTATGACCAATCAAATAAATGATCTCTAAAACAGTGTAGCCCTGCAAGGTCTAAACAGTTCCCTCTCCCTAAAATATAGTGATTGAAAAAATACCTTATATTAAAATGATAATTTGGAAAGGTGTGTTGACCAAAGGTGTGTTGTTTCAATGTGCAAATGTATGCAATCTTCATTCTGCTATGAGGTGACAGTAAGCTGTATATGTAAATTATGGAGAATTTCTTTAGAAACAATATTTTTTTTTGCAAAAGAACTCCCTTAAAAAAAAAGAAAGGTCTTTGGTGTGAATTGTTTCTATTATTGCCAGCAGCTCTGATTAGTAACACACATTTTCAGTTAATTTTGGATCCCAGCATGCCCTTTAATCTGGCATTGTTTCTATTGTCTTGCTATTACAGAAAAAATATATATTCTATCCTGAGGCCCAATTCCAATTACTGTAAGTTAATCTATTAGGTGATAAAGCATGACATAGGCAGAAAATGTGTATGTGAAAGTGAAGATGTATCTTAGGATTTTCCAGGGATTGGTTACCTTGAAATTGTGTTCTCTATAAATCTCGAAGTGTGTTCTCTGTCCTTTTGTGATAACTAAAGCTTTGTTTTGGATGTTGTCCCAGGTATTACGAAACTGGTAGTATTAAGCCTGGAGTGATTGGAGGATCAAAACCAAAGGTCGCCACACCCAAAGTCGTTGAAAAAATTGCGGAGTACAAGCGCCAAAATCCTACCATGTTTGCATGGGAGATCAGGGATAGACTTCTAGCTGAGCGAGTTTGTGACAATGACACTGTTCCCAGTGTCAGCTCAATTAACAGGTAAAAATTTGCATGTTCTCAGCAATTCAGTTGGCATTGAATTTTCATGTATTTATGGACCTGGATGTCTGCGATGATCTTCAAGAAACGCAGTTTGCATGTGTTTTCATAATGTGTTTGGGGTGTGGGAGCAGCCATTGATTCACTTTGATGATGAAAATACGACAAATTACTAACAGTTCCTAGTGATGGACAAATTTTACTCTCAACCTTTGCTTCTTTCTCATTTTTTTTTTTCCTGTTCTCCAATTCTGGAAAAGATCTTGGATTATTTGATCTGAATTGGGTCTCAATTTTGGACTGAAACCTGGACTAGGCAGGGATCCCAAGGGCTTTATCTACAGGGGAAAGCTGAAATTTCAAATATTGGGCTTAGTGGCAATGTAGAAAAAGTCTGGATCTCAACTATGTGATGAAGGGTAGTATTGCTGTCTTCCTGCCATCTACTCAATATTATTAAATTTGATCTGATGTTTGGTACCATTTACTCTGAATATAAAAAAGTGGATTTCAGTGAGTAGTCTCCAAGTGCTCGGAGCATTGGCCTGTTAGATAGATACAATTAAATGGCCTTCATTTGCCTTTGTAGAGGTGCAGGAGTATCTTGTTTTGAGTCTTGGCCTGGCATTTGGGAGCCTCTTATGCTGTTGAGGTGGTTTTCACTTATTTCATGCAAATCCTTTGAATGCAACTGTGCAGCATAATCTCTGTATGTTTACATGAAATAAACTGATGGGATATTATTTTATTGACTATACCAATAGATCCGCATGAATGGAATTGCCACTTGAACAACACAGGAGATTTCCACAGTGTTAGCTAAGAATACTAGCTTGATCTTGCCAAGCTGAATGCAGAGTCATACATTTGCATGGATAAATGCAAGGTTGGATTTGGTCATTCACAGCTTTTAGTACTTCTTGCAAGTTCATATCTAGCTTAGAATCTAATGCAGCAACCAATAGCCGTGTAGACGCTGAGATTTTATGTTAAAAAAAAAGTATTTTTTTTTTTAGAAATAATAATGGGGACCCTTAAAATTGAAAGAAAATTCTCCCAAGAATTGTCCTCAGGTAGTTACAGACCAAATCGGTTCCCATCAGAACACCCATCACACCTGGAATTCACATTGAAGTGCAAGACTTTAATTCTGTATTAAGCATGTGTTTCAAAGCTTTACTGATAGAGTTATTGTACATTAATAATGCATAACCTTACTCTTAAGGCATGAAGGCCTAGTAAGATTAGAACACAGTGGCCAACAGCAGGAGAGCTCATGGCCTTGGGAGACGGGAGGAAAGGTGAAATTTCCTGTGTACTTTATTTTCCATCAGCCTAATGCAGCCATGGAGGATATAGGACAACTAGATGCTCATGCACAGAGATAGCTCTATATACATCCAAACTTTCAGATGTTGGGGAAGGTAAATATTTTATGAGAAGTTTTCTTCTTTAGCCCTCAGTGAAGATGGAACTGGAGAGAAAAGGCACAGCAGAAAAGAGGATTAGGAAAATACAGTCTAAGCATGGAGTACATGGCATGGTGCAAAGAGAATGTGCTTTCTACACCTGAATGTGTAAATTTGCACAGAAACAGCAACATAGATTGTTTTCCAAAATAACATTCAAAACTATGTAAGATGTATTTAAATGGCTTTGACCTTGCTGCAGCTTTGGGTGCCTGGATGCTCTAAAATGCCAGCACCACAGGAGACTGAATTCCTAGCTCAGGCAGACTTGGACATTATTTGCTGATGTCTTTTGTGTGAAAGTGACAAGTCTTTCTCAACCCTGCTGTGCAACTTGGATGTTGTCCTTTAGCTGTAGACCTGACCCACAATCAGAAGTCACTTCAGTCAGATTCTTGCAGCTAGCCTGCTGCACAGTCTGCCTGCGTTACAGTCGTAGCGCTGTTATGCTATTGTTTTGCTATTGTTCTCCTCTTCAGGAGAATTGTCATAATCGTTAGAGACTGAAGAGCTGGGGCAGCATGCTATAATGCAGCAATGACAAACTATGTGTAGCACTTCCACTTTAATGTATGCATTCTAGAAGACAAATTTGAACTGCAGTCCCGTATATAAATGAATAATTGCTATTATTATTCATTAATAAGATTAATATTATTAATAAGCCACTCTTCCACAGCAGGAGCAACTCTGTGTGATTAAGGCTTAATTAATCATTGCAACTAGCTCTGCACAAATAGGCTGAAAGCTGCCCAGCTGTTTCAAAGCACTCGTGTCCTCCATCCCTTCAGAGATAAAGACATTTATGTGTCAGGAGGCCCCAGATACCCTTTCTTCCAGTAAGGAAGCCTTGTGCATGGTGTTATTTCTCTTCTCTCTTCTCTTCTCCCTTCTCTTCTCCCTTCTCCTCTCCTGCTTTCAAGGCAGGTAGAAATGGTAAAAGAGTGTGTTAGACAAATATAGGAAAAATGCTTACCATGTCTCTCTATCCTTGCATAAAAAGTGTGTATAACAGACACATGTGATTAAAGAGTGCTTCATTCAAGACATACACTCAGCTTGCTTCTACAGCAGTCAGTGGCAAAATTATTTAATCTCTAGTAGCATTTCAGATTTCATCTATTCCTTTCTAACAGCACCTTGGCAAGTGAGCACCTGACAGGACACCTCTGTTAATGTTTTTGACCACCATCCCTCTTCCAATATTTATCTACATCTTTTATTTATCTTTTATTTATCTACATCTTTGATTATTTACTGACTGGTATCATAATAAATCAAAGCAGAGGCTGTCTGCTGCAGTGACATTGCAGTGACTCACTGAATACTCAAGACTAGCATTTAATCTGACATTTTTGTTTTGATATCATTTTGATTAAACAGAATCTTTCTTAGATGTCTCAGCAGTGCACCCAGGGGTAGTTCAGGGGTATATTTACAAGGGTGTTCATGCACCTAAGGTTGAAGCCTAGGGTCATATCTGGACTCATAATGGTACATCTCCCTGAGGATAGGATGTTTGGCAAAAGATATGTCCAAAAAACTAGAAGTGTCTGTTACATTGGCAATTAAACCTGACCTGGCTTTTCAATGATATTGGGCCACCAAACTCCCACTAGAATCCCAAAGAACCAGTAGGCATGGGCTGGAGCCCACAATATAGTCCTGAGTCTACCAGTCAAACTTTGGGATGAGAAGGGGGTGATGTTGGGAAGATATTTTTGCGTTTACCTGGTTATCCTGAACTGAAAAAAAAAATAGCACCTGATGTCCCTTGCAATCCCATGCTTAATAGTAAGTAGTCATTTATTTCTTTTCAACTGCATGCAGGATCATACGGACGAAGGTACAGCAGCCACCCAATCAGCAAGTCCCTGCTTCCAGTCACAGCATAGGTAAGGAAAACTTTTCTTTTTTTATATAAAAAATAGTATAATAGATTACAAATATTCTGAAGAACTTTTAATCATTCTTATGGACAGATAATTCTGCATAAAACACTTCAGCACACGTGCTAATGCGCCTTCTTTGTCATTCTCCAAGGGCTGAACATAGCAAATGAATTTTATAAATACTGCTAAAAGGTTTTGAATTTTACTGATTATTATGATAAATAGCTTTCACCATGAGACAGAAAATTGAAATCTAAACCAACCCCCCCACACTAATGGGGGTCTATAGAATGTCAGATAATTAAAGCAATAAATCAAGAAAGGGGTACTTATTCATAACATTTTCTGCATCATTAGTCAGTAAGTAGCTTTGAATGTGTTTTTTTCATCTATCAACCATGCCTTCCATAATTCTTTGTGCACTTGCAGTCTTGAGTGAAGAGGTAGCAAAACTTTCTGAACTTTAATTCAGATACAGATGGGCAATATGAACAGGAGAATCAAGTGAGTGTGGGGGAGATGATCTTTGGAAGGAGTGTCCTGCTTAATGAGGCCTCCTCCACAGTTCACCAAGTTGATTGTCTTTATCAGATATATTTGTTCTCATCAGAAATCCTTCTAAGCACCTGCATAGGCAGGACTCATGACTAGTCTAGTTGTGTACATGCAAGCTTTCAGGTGAACCCATTCCTCATGGATAGCTCCAAGTACCTCTACCTTCCTGGACAACACAGTTGCACGGAGGCAATGTGGGACAATTGCTTTACTTCTGCTTTTTTTTTTTTTTTTTTTTTTTTTTTTTTTTTTTTTTTTTTTTTGTATGATTTCAATTCCTTTTTCCATGAAAACTATTGAGGGGAGGATAAGGCATTGCTTGTTGTACAAAACGGAGGCAGACTGGAGGTCTCAGTCACCCTGTGCCTTAATGCTTTCATGTGTGAAATGGGGATAACACTTGCTGACCTCAGGTGGCGTGGGTGAGCTGATAGTGTGATAGCAAAGAGATGTGTTAACACTTTAAACTTCTTGAAGAGATCTCACTGCAGGACAGTATCCTGGGTCTTTCTTTCAAGGAAATGCCAAAATATTTCCCAAGGAGGGAAAGCAGCAGCCTATTTGCAATGGAAAGTTATGTGTTGATTGTTTTCCTATTATGAAAAAACTTGAGTAGAAAAACAATTGTTCTTCTAAGAATCTGGGTTTACTATACCCTGAAGAAAATCATGACACTGATGCTACTGTGCTGCAGTTTACACCAGGACTTTGGCTCCAGGACTTCTGTGTGATCCAGGTGCCAAACTGCCCCATCATCTGGAGGCATACAAGCTGCTTTCTGTGATTAGCTCTGGGGAAGTGTCAACCAGCCAGCTCAGGCTTAGCCTATGAGCAGATGGAGATGGATACTGGTTCTACCCCTTCGGTCCTGGGACACACATCCTATATATCTGCAAGCTAGGAGCTTCTCAGAAATATGGAACCTCCAGAGTGAAACATAACACAACATACCTGCAATGCTGACTGTCATCTACAGACTAATGATCTACCAAAACAGAATCTCCTTCATCTGGGCACTGATGCCAGAACCCTTCCTAAGAGTTCTACCAAAGCAAAACATTTAATTCACAGTTTGAGGAGATTCATTCGCATGCAGTCAACAGCTAGTCTTGCCTAGATTTATGTATAACCCTTGCTGCTCAGAAGTATTTTCACTGACTAGAGACTTATACCTTGGTCAGCAAATCAGGCATAACAAATGCATGTCACTTCATTGGTATGTGTTTTCTCTGTCAGGAGATTGAAAGTATTGCACAGCATCTTACCAGCATGTTCTTTTTCATAAGGTCTCAGAACCAACTCCTTCCACTCCATTAATGGCTTGAAGTGGTAGACAGGCAACAGATCTTAGAAATGTATCTTTCCAAGGTACCTCTGACACAACAGCGGTTGAAACTTTCCTTCTATTTGCAATCTATTATACTTTCTTAGCAGTGTCAATTTGCTTTCTAATTAGTCTAGGATGAGAAGTTTGACAGAAAAGGCTCCCTTAGCTTTTCCTTACAAAGAAAACAGTTAAGTGGTAACATGCTGAGCTTTTAAAGGAAAAGCATAACTTGCTCCATATGCCCCAGGAGCTATTTACACTGCTCTGGAGGTTTGCACTGCAGACTGTCACAAGAGCCAAGAGCAATGCTCATGTCCACATCTGTAAGGCAGTTTGTAGAAAGCAGCTCTGTGATGGGCATGGGAGCCACTGCTGCTCCTGCAGGCCATAATCTCAAACGCGGGAGATTGCTGCCACTCCTACTGCCTCAGAGCCCAGAGAGGTGCAGCAACGCTGTTTAGCTTGGATAGCTTTCTGAGCCGAATATGTATGGTCACTGAAACAGCCCCAGGCTGTTTTGATCACACCGCAGCAATAGGAAACTTTTGAGCCCACCGACTTTCATATTTGTATGCACACTGACTTCTTTGCTTTCAATTGCAGCCTCCACAGGGTCTGTAACCCAGGTGTCTTCAGTAAGCACCGACTCTGCTGGCTCTTCCTACTCCATCAGTGGGATTCTGGGAATTACTTCCCCTGGCACAGAGAGCAACAAACGCAAGCGAGATGAAGGTAATTGAAGTTGTTTGCTCTTGGAGGAGAAGGGGCAAGGCATACTGGGAGAAGTGTGGATAAGGCTGAGGAAGGGATGCTCTGTTCCGGTGTCATTTGTCTCAGCCCTGCCCAGCCTTTGAGGTAGACTGTGGCAAGTGGCAACATGATTTGCATTCATGATGTGGTGACTCATGTGAAAACAGATTGGCATCTTCATGTGGCTACTGGAACCAAGGTAAATGTCGGGTGCATTGTGATGTAAAAGAGTAGCCAATACTCTAATTCTCTTATAGCAGGTCTTTCCATTTTCTGTCAGCTGGACAGCTGCAATGGAGATTTTACTTATTTATTTATTTATTCAAAAGTGTCCTTTTAGTAGCATATTCTTGTATTAATATATTAGAAAGCACCTTGGATGCATCACATTTTTTTTAGCAAATCAACTCTTCTTGCTGTGTGATGGAACATTTTCCTTCTAAAAGTGGAAAGAGGAAGAGATTTTATTATCTTGATACTATGGCCACCCGATAACATAAAATGAAAGGGGCTTTTCATAATTTGCAGAGAGACAGAATATTTACAATAATAGCATCTGTGATACTGAATTTCATTAGGTCCCACTAACCTCCAGAGGACTTTTATCAGACTAGACTCAAATGAAAACTGGTAGATTTTGTTTTGGTTTGGATATTGCCTCTCTTCCTCCAGTTTTTTGCAGGGTTAATAGTTATGATTTATTCTGTACCTTTAGCATTTTTTTTCCTGCTGAAAACACTGCTTGCTTTGGAAAGACCTTCAAAGTAAGGTAGGAAGAAAAAAGGAGAAATTCTGGCTTATAGTTTTATAAAAATATCTTAAATCTAAACCAGAACTTTATTTGAATGGGAGGTAACTCCTTACAGAGAGCAGCTGACCATCTCAGCAGGCAGACCATCCCATTCACTCTGTGTTTTGTTAGAGAAAGGATGTAAGTGGATTAGCTACCATTTTCTGTCACTTGTTTGCAGCAGTGATGTTAATGCAACTTCACTGAATGACCAGTGGCAACATTTATGAATTTGAGGCCTTTGCTCCTTGCTGGTTTGCTGTCATCCCACTTTTTAGAAGAACAAACTCCTGCATTTTGCGTTTGGGTGTCTCTGGTCATCTACTGCAGTCAGTTGTGGAGAAGTTCCTAGGTGCTCCAGGGGCCACTGGTGTTGCAGGCATAGAAGGTCCTCTTTCAGCCACAGGCATGAAGAGTATATATACTCTGTGTGCCTCTGTGAAGTGGCAGAGACCTCTACTCTGAGGAAAGAAATGACTCCAAAGAGAAAAACAAAATTCAGAGGAGAAACTTCCTCCAGACTGATAATTTGGAGATTCTGAAAGAGAGGAAAAAGGACTAAATTTCCTGTGGCCTAAATTCACTGATTAGCTTTGAAGGAACTTCATGGAAATTTTATGTTTTATGTCTCTAGCTGTGGCAAGAGATAGGAAGTCTGTGTTGCAAATTTCATTAATTTAACACAGTATTGCCCTATAGCACCAGTTATTGGGTATATGTGTTTACAGCAGACCCTTTGATTTAAGGAAGAAACAGTAAGAAGTTTCTGCAGCTGTAGAGAAAAGAGTTAATGTTTCCTTGGAAAGATCACAGGAAGAGCTGAGAAACTCGCCAATCTTTGCCAATTCATTGTTAGAAGAAAACACATAATTTATAAAACAACTCTCATCATTTTGGCTGTATAAGTCACAATTTTTGAGTCCATAAGACAGACAGTTCTGCTGTCTTCAGCAGACCAATTTGATTCTTTTTATAATAGGCTCAGACATGCAGATTTGGAGAGGTGTGTTAGGGAGAGCATTTGTACTTAACCAGGTTATTTCTGTGCAGCAGAGTGTTTTTGTCTTGTCTGAAAGCAGACCACAGAGAGTCTATATTAGTTCTATTGGCACAGCAAGGCAAAAAATGTGCATGGAAGTGTCCCAAGACTCTGAACCACAAATGATGGAGAGATGGATCACATTCTGGTCAGCAATGTGAAGATCAGAAGAATGTCAAAGGATGTCATCTTTTAATTATGAATTGTATCATAATGCAGACGTACGAGCAGGCAGAGTTAACCATTCAACCATTCATTAACAAGATGGTTAAGCTTTAATAGCTTGATAATACCTCCTTAGCATCTTTTTTTTTTCTTTTTGTTTTTCTTTACTACAACTCTGTATTTCTCTGTAGCTGTTAAGAAATGCAATTGCATGTTGAGAAATGCAATTGCATGCCTTTATAACTTTGCATGTCTCACAGATAGTGTGATAGCTAGTTGTCTAGCAATCCTGACTTCCCTGGGCTGAGGAGAAAAAGGGAACACAATCTCCCCTTCATGTTGCTAGCTGAACTGAGGACTCAGTGTGATTCATTATCTAGTATTCTTCCTTTCACTCCTGAGGTGGTTTTTTGGAAGTATTTAGGCTGATGGGGAGCTTGCCTCGTAGCAACAAGGACACACCAAATTAGACAATCTTTATTGGTTTATATAAATGAAGGTATCATATTTTTTCTCCTGTATTGTAATACAGACTTGGAACAGGTGTGCCTTCATGGGGCATCAGTGAAAGGACCTACTATTGGAGTCTGATACAAGAAGCAAACTGCTCTGTAACTAGAGAGGTACAATCAGAAGTCAGCAGAAGTCAACAGTCTTAGCTTAAAGATACAGATGCTATTGGGTGGAAATCTTCCTATTTGTTCTTTTGTTTTTGTTTTGTTTTGTTTCTATCTGTACATGACAGTTTTATATCTGCTGTGGGCATTTGTGGCTCCAGAAGTCTCTGGCCCCACTGTCAGAGAGAATGGCTTTCATGGGTGGCTTGGGTGGGGAAGAAGGATACTCAATTCCCATACTCATGTGGAGAGAAGTGACTCTGGATTTGTAATTAGGCATTGGGAAAGTAAATAGATCTCCATTCTCATGCACTTCTCTTGCTTTATGTAAAACATAAATAATTTGTCTAGGTAGGACTAATTTCGGAGTAAATGCCATGAACTTTGATGGGAAGCTGCATACCTATTCATGAATTATCTGCCAATAACCTGACTCTGAGCCTCTAGACTATCTCATGCTTTTAGCAGTTTAATGCTGTCCCAATCCACCTGATTAATGCAGAGATGTGCACAATGTCTGATACTGTTATTTCAGGTAGAATATGTGGGAGAGTGGAGCACTGATCAGGAAACTGTAAGGAAAGATGCTAACACATGTGGCACATAAATTTGGGGAGCAATCCTGCTCCACCCTTTTGCTAAGTTCAGTAAAGAAGGGTCACTTGCTTGGCATGAGCCCAGAGTAAATATCATTGCATTCCACCTGTCTCCAGAATGTATTTAATTAAAGAGAAATCTGTGATGCTGGCGGGTAATAAAGCAGTTTGTAACTATAAGGAGCAGCTAAGCCAGGATGAAACCTGTTTGCATACAGCACTAACTGGAAAATTCCAGGAGGTCTTCTGGGTCATAAATGCCACATCTATGTTGTTAAACCAGAGAGTGCTGGTGCGTAGGAAAAAAACATTGTCACATTTTGTCACCATTTTGTCAAATTGTCACATTTTTGAGTGACAGAGCACTGGAAGAGACTTACCGGAGAGACTGTGGACTCTCCTCCTTTGGAGATCTTCAAAATTTGCCTGGATGCAACCCTGTGGAATGTGCTCTGGGTGTCCCTGCTTGAGCAGGGGGTTTGGACTAGATGATCTCTAGAGGTTCTTTCCAACCTCAACCATTCTGTGATGGCATTGTCTCAGTCTGTGTCTGCCTGCAGTATACTAAAATAGAAGTGACCAGAGTATGAACGGTACTGTCTCTGTTCAGTGTGGATGCAGCCATGCTAGTGCAAAGGGCAGGAGACCCTAGTGACAGAGATGCTCCTGGTGTTGTATCAGTCAGATCATTTTGTCTCCTTGCATAGCTGTGGCTACCTTTTTTCCCTGTGGGGAAAGGAAAAAAAAAGGTTGAATGGGCAACTGCAGATTGTTTCCTAGCCTTGGTCACCAGATTGGAAATACAGTGAAAAGGAGAGCAAGAGGATCTTAACAAGATCTTCTTATCAAAGCACTGCAGGATCTTTGTGCTTGTTACTCACCCATCTCTTGCTGCAGAACAAGTCTGGCAGATTTAGCTACCCTCACTGAATAGTTGCATATTTCAAATTCAGTGGAACACAGTCTTTTCAGGGGTGGAGGCATTTGGCATGCATGAAATCATCATTCATAAAATTATTTTGTTTCCATTCTCACCAATCATAATCCTGTATTGCTGTCAGCATCTGGCGTGATGATGCAGATGCTTATGCTTTGTTTTCTGAGCTGAACTCCTTAAAAAATGCATTTCCTTTAACTTTGACTCATGACAGTTAGCAGCATTTAGGTCACAGCCTTGTGTGAGAGGACATGTTTCCAAGGATGGCAAGGATGCTAACGGCAGTGAAAAGATCCTTTAACTGCAATCTAGGGTTTTATACAGCTGCCCAGTGTTATGGTCAGAACAATTTCAAGCAGAAATTTCTCAGGTTAGGAAGCTCTTCAGCCATCCAAAGCGAGGCCCTCAGTAGAGCCTAGTGGGCTCCAGGCTACTTTTCTTTGCATGCCTGCACTGCAGAGGCTCACTGGGGACCTACATTTGAAAATGGCAGTCAAATTGCTTTGCATTGGCACATTTAGATGGTAAGAGCACATCTTGTGAAGAATGTATACAAGCTCAAAGTGTTAGTGACCCATTAAGGGGGAATATGAGCTATCCAGAAAGCCTAAGAAAAGTGAAAGCCAGTACAAGTCTGAATAAGGACTAATAATACAGACAGTTGTCTTTCCTTTGTACCATACTCATGAACAATGTTTTCTCATGAGATGGAAACAACAGGCTAGCTACTGTAACAGGTAGGTAGAGATTTGCAGGGCTATGTCTTTGCGGCTCCAGAAGAGAAGCTGGCAGATTGACAAAGAAGATCACAACAGTGTTTCCATCCTGGTGGAACTTT